CCCAAAATAGATTAACACCCCTGATCACACCCAAATTCAAGCTATCTATCAATCAACCTCGCCCCCGGCCTAATCGAGATATCATAGCCAACTAAATAAAGAGATAAATCTAGGTTCCGCAGGGGATCGATGAAGAGAAAAGATAAATACAGAGAGAAACGAAGAGACAGAGGGTGAGTCAATCAACGAAGCCGCTGAACCAGCGGCGCATAGAGATTCGACGGAGGAAGGAGAGAGAATCCAGCTCGAAAAACCCTAGAAAGGCAAGGAAATGAAAGTAAAAACTCTTGAAACCCTAGGCGAGGCCGAGGATGAGGTGGAGGCGGATGGAGGCGCATAGAACAGTGGCGGCACGAGCAAAAGGAAAGAAAAATAGAAAGAGATGCGAAAATAGGACTCCGGAGAGAGAGAGAGAGAGAGAAACTGTTGTGCGAGTTGGGAAGAGCGAGAGTGTTGTGTATACCGTTTGCTGTTTGGTTGGTTTGGTCTTTCTCCCATTTTTCTCTTTATACTCAAACCAAAATGTAAATGAATTTTGGAAAATTACAGTTGTCTCGCAGTATATAAATGTTTTTGTTTTTATTTTTTTAATGCATTTATATATAATATATTTGAGCTACTTTGTATTCGGATTAATTTTCTTAAATATTCCCATAATATTTATCACTATTAACTTTTATTTTACTACAAATTATACACTTCAATTGTCATTTAATATATGCACATTATTAATAATAAAATTAATAATATTACGATTTTTTAACAAAAATATATTTTAAAACAATTGGGGACCGTAATCTTATAAAAAAAATTAATTTTATTAAAATAAAAAATAAAAAAAAAAGTATTTTTAAAATATTATTGATGATTATTCAATAATAAAAATAATAGTTTATTATTCAAATAAAATAAAAAATTTTATCCTTAATAAAATAACATAATAAGTATTTAAGTATGAAATAGATAAATCATCATTTGCTTCTTTATGAAAATGGATGAAATTATTTGACAAAGTGCACCAAAATATTAATGACAAAAAACTCTCTTTTTGTCTTGAACTTTTCCAACCTATAAGGGTAACGTGATTAAAGATGTGGAATATATATATATATATATGAGAACTTTACTTAATAATTTATAAGAATTTTGCTTCTATTTGCAAATTATTATGACTATATTATTAATTTTTTAATAAAAAAATAAGAAATAAATGTATTTGACAAGAGATGTAGATTTCATATTCAAAACATGTATTGATGAGGCAAGTTTCTCATAACTAAGATTATAAATAATTTAATTTAAAAATTTATAAGAATAAAATGTACATATTTTTTAGATTTATTTTTAAATATGTATTATTTTATATCTTGATTCATTTAATTATAGAACATTTATAATAAGCATGTAAAATAATTTGCGTATCTTATATAACATCCTTTCAAAATTTTATGTAACAAATTTCTCATACGTAAAATTATAAATAATGATTAATGTAGCGAAAATGTACATATTTTTTTAGACCTTAATTAAATTAAATATAAAATAAACAACGATAAGAAATATGCATACCTTATGTAGCATCATCCAAATTTTGTCGTAATATTATTCATGTTAATAATTTATATTTTTCATTTATAAAAGTACTCCATATAAATATTGTAAAAATTAATAAATGGCACAAAAAATATTTTTTTAACTTTTTTTATGAACATAGACAATTAGTAGATATGCAATTGACAAATATAAAACAATAAATAAATAATGTTTGTGTATATTACGACATAATGTTAATAAAACAAGATATATAAAGAGAAGTTACTTAATGCCTAATAGTATGAAGAATAAATAATTAATTAAAAAGAAAAATGAGAAGAGGGTATCATTTGGGAAATACAATAAGAGAGGAAAAAATAAGGGAAAGAAATAATGAATAGCGGAAAAAAAAAAGCGGTAGAAAGGGAAGAGCAAATAGAGAGTTTATGGCACAATGAAACAACTTAAAATAATATAAATGTAACACTTATAAATAATGACAAAACTTTAAAATTAATAGTTTAGTGGTGCAATGTGTTTAACAACATGTCTTACTTTTATTTTTATAATTAATACGATGATATGATAAAAAATAAAATTTTATGACCTCACTTTGATTTTAGGCATTTTTTTTAGTTACTAAAAATACTTAATCCACATATTTTAAGCAATGACAGTTATAAAAATTTCAATAAAAAATTTTGAATATAATAAAATGATTAGATATAACAAAAATATGGATGCCAAAACCGAATTCCGTATAATTTCATATACTTTCATGATACATTGAGTCATAATTTTTAGTATAATATTGTTAGCAATGTGGTAATGATACTCAAATATTTAAACATCATATTTAACATTTTAATAATTAAAACTGTTGAGTTATAAAAAATATAAGCTAATGATTTACTATATAAATGAAGTTAATGAATATACACTTTTATAAACAGAAAAAATTGACAAGAATCAAGCTCGTCATAATAATATAAAATAATGATTGAAATAAATTTTAACTCGCTTAACTCTATATGCATTCACATAGATTATATTTACAGAAATTGTTAAAGTCAGCTAAAATTAGGCTCCTCATAGTACCACAAATATAACATTACATGCCTAAATACTAGTAACCTAATAAATTTTTGGATCTAAACTATCAATTTTCTAAATTTAATTAAAAATTATTAATAATATGTAACTTGAATCATATTATAAAATTTAACAATTATATATTTTTCCAATTTAAAATTAATGTATCACAATAAATGATGGATTGAGTTAATATACTTAGGTTATTCTTGAACCGTATAAGTCTTTGTCACGGTCGTACAACTAGTTCGTCAAATAATTAAGTATTGACATGTGGCTTGACGCAAGAAATACTTACACCAAAACTGTATATATATATATATATATATATATATATATGAATAGATTAGACCTTACTAATGGTTCACTTGACAAAGTAGCTACCTGGTTTACTCTATCTCTCGCAGTTGTTAAATCAAAATCTATTGGGCAGAACACGTGAAATATAAATTTATGACCAATGAAATCCTAAGTCGAACACATTGAAATAGAAAGTTAAGCAAACGCCATGTTCTTCAGTTTCAGCTATACGAAATCACTCACCGAAATTGAACCAATCTGGTCATGATCGATTATTACCATTTCATTTTTAATTTCCTTATAGCTAGGGTTATTTCTTTCAGTTTTTAAATTTATTTATAATATTGGGTATTTCATGGTAGTTGATTTTGGATTGCAAGTTACCGCATCTGATTGTTGTAGAAGAGGAACCAATCTGGTTATGATCGAACAAAATGCCGAAGAATCATGAAGAGGATTCAATAACTGTTGATAATGGAGACGGCGATGTAACCCTAGAGGGGCAGAGTCTTGCACATGAGGAAGAACGGAACGTGTTCGATGCATCTCAGCAGGAAGCCTCCGTTAATCAGGTATACAAAAATATGGCCATGTTCAATTGTGTATGTATAGATATATTTATGTGTATGTATGTAAGATATTGATGTGATAAGAGAGTATTGCAGGAAGAGGGGTCTGCGGAGATGCATTTTGTCGAAAGTAAGGAAGATATGTTTGTTGATGCCCCTGATGAGTTGAATGTCGATAGTAGAGAAGCAGTCATGGCGGCTAATGGAGCCGAAGTTCAAAATGATTCGCAGGAAAATCTTGACATGAAAGAGAGTCAGTCGGGTGAAATGGAGAATGGAGGAGTAGATGATGACATAATGAATGAGCTGGGACGGTTGCGAGCTACGCTGGAGAAGACAATTAACGAGAAACAACGCTTAGAAAAAGAATACCAGGTTCGGGGGTTTGTATCTGTTTGAGATTGTGGCATTAAGATTCTGTTTGGTTATTTATTTTTGAAATAAATTGTTTAGGCTCCTGATTTTCCTGCCTGTGTTGATCTGCAGGAAGATACTGAAGCCCTTGCAAAAGAAGTTGTTGACCTTCGTCATCAGATTAAAACGATGACTGATGAGCGACAGCTGTTGACCGGCAAGGATGAGGAAAGGACTTCGGTTATTGGTGTTTCGTTGCACGATATGATTAGTGACTGCTCCAAGTTTCTGGAAATTGTGAAGCAAGAGCAGTTACAGAGTGAGACTATGATGAGGGAGCTTCAGGACGTCCTCTGTGCCAAGAATGGAGAGATTGAAGATCTCAATGCTAAGGTTACTGAATTTACGTTGTCACATACTGTTGCTTCATATTACTTGAATTCAGTAGTGGAGGCTGAATCTGATGCTCGGCTTGAGAACAATCAGCACCTTGAGAATGTTGCCGACAGGATGCT